TTTGTAAAGTAATAAGCAGTTTTATGAAAGATATAACTATGTGAAATTGTGAAATGTAATTAATTAGAATAGTAAAGCGTCCAATATACTATTAATGGTATAGACAAACCATAGACAATACCCAATCTTATTAGACATTTACCTCCTGTCACTAAGGCATAACTAGCTTCTTGAAACAAAATACACTGGGGAAATATTAGTAGTCATATAACATCATAAAGCAATGAATAAAAATATAGTAAATTTATAAAAGACTAAATCATCACATCTTGGATAATCCTGAATAAATAAATTAAAGTAGTTTATTGTGATTGGTTTAATTTTGTCTGTATTTGTACAATCTGCCTTCTACGTTTATCTCAATCATTTCATACATTCAGATCTTTATTGTCCTCATTTAGTTTTTTGAGTGAGCTATTACTGTGATAAATGTAAAAAAAATAGAACTAAAGATGTTGGTTAGATTGTAAATTCCTCCTGACGTGATCATATTAACAGTTGTCAAATCTAACAATTTCGTTCTCCTTGGGGCTTTGTCCTCACTTACAAAGATCTATTAGAACAAGAAGGAGTTGGGTTCGAATCTGGAGATAGCTTCTGGGGTTTAGGATTCAACACCCGAGTTATTGAGATTGGAGGTCAAGACACAATTTCTATTTACCTTTTTTATTAGATGTTTCCTAGATTGTTTTCAAAAGTCCTACTATAGCAGGTCATTCAATATCGTCAAACAAAAACACTTTCTGTACAGGAGTACAAAATCCTGTCAGTGAAAGTCTTAAAGCACCAGGCGGCGCCACAAGTTCGGTATCAACCGCTAAGTAGGTAAACGACATGTGGTTTGACCTGTATTATTCGACGTAATCAGGTAACATCGCACTCATAATCGTTCTAACGATAGTTTTGGAAATGTTTATGTTGTTCAGCTTCACGAATTTAACACTAGTTTGTGCCATTTTGTATCAAATGAATGTCAAATATCGAGGGAAGGGTTCCCACGAAGGATCCAGATCAATGTCACCGTTCATTACTAACAGCTAGTTTCTAGAATTGATTCTAAAAGGATAGTTATTTCCAGTTGAGGCAAATGCACGGCATTGACATCGGAGAGATTTGTCATACCGACATACTGAAATGTATCATCAGAATGTGAAATGGAAAGTACGATGATGATAATCTTTGTGACGTATGTCGATTCACTTTTCTTCGCTTCAAGTAAGTTTGTCGGTAATTTCAGAATGTCGATAAAGACGATACTCGTTACAATAGACGATATTCTCAATCCATGTATCAATTTTAGTCAATAATATGACAACCAAGTGAAATCATATCACATGGTATTGTCTCCTACCTTTACTGGATAATTCTATAGAGAATGATACATAAATCCCAATCTACATTTGAAGGAAATAAACTTACAACTTGGGATGAGTCTTCCGTCATGATTTACTGTCAATGCCTCTCCACGATGTTTGATGTTTCATCGATCTACTTAAGACATGGCTAATTAAGAATAGACAAGACTACGGCATGTTTATTGTAGAATATCCAATATCTTGGAAAGGAATTGTTAATGAACTGTCTTATCGAGTAAAAATAACAATGTTTTATGGTATGATAAATGGCATGGCCTTGGTATGATAGTGGTGGTTTACATAGCACATTTTTTTCAGGAAGCTTGGCATTCGACACATGCGCAAACTGTCGTCAGCATTTTCGGTAAATGTTACGGATATCCAGGTCGAGTCGTCTCGCTATGCCATTGAAAACCACTGTCTCACAAGGAGCAATCGTTCATTGTTTCCTAATCAAAGTTCTCAAGGTACCTTTTTGTGCCTTTATTGTATTCAGTATCAGTTACCTCCAATTACAATACATGTATATTAAAAGGTATGATTGGAAATAAAACGAATGGATACGTGATCGACTAAATAAGTTAGAACCATTGGTTACTTAAAATATCCAGAACTAATGGGTCTAGTATGTAACTCAAAACTCGTACAAAGACTCCGTAATGGCAAACACGGCTAACCCAATGTATATAGGCCTTTAACCTTTTGACCTTGTATGATTATATGACCTTCATTGGATGTACCTGAACCCTGTCCAAGGTTTAGTCCCGAGAGAGATTTCGAGCTTGGTCCTGACCTTTTAAATTTTGCCTGGCTTCCGACAAGCCATATTCGAAATTCGTTACTGATTTAGATTATAACTTTCAGCATATTTATTATGCTTATATTGACCCCGACCTCGACCTGATTTCTATTTTGACCATGAACTTGACCTTGATAATTGTTTGGTTTAGGGTTTTGGGAGTCACTATTGACTTTATCGAGCTTGGACACGATAGCATCAAACTTATCACAATACCTGATATTGGTGTCGTTTGTTGGTGGTAGACTTCCCATTTGATAACAGTAACATATGAATGACTACAAGACTTTGAGTGATGACCGGTAGGACCACCTGATGTAGGAACAATATCCATTTCTTTTTCAACGGTCCGGATTTATCTCAGTAGTTCATCAAACTTACCAAAAGATTCGTATTTCTGCCTGGTCCGACTTTTCAATTAGTCTGAATGTAACGGAGTCCAAAACGTGTACCTCAACATGTTATTTTGGATGATTCGTGTACGAAACCATTTTAACGGCATCCTGGAGCAGCGATTCCAGTTTTACTTCACAGTTTTACGGACTTGGTGTTGCGAAGAATTGAAGTAGTCGTGCATCAACATATCGTGTGTTGACACATCACCAAAACTGACATTTGATTTCTTGGTAGTAAGTAAAAAATACACCTTTTGAGGAGAAGACCTCTCGCTATAGTCGCTGGTATCTTTGACCCGAGAGATATCAAACAGTTATCCTGATCTACCTTTATCAAATCGTCCGGGTTCAAACTTACGTGGATCTACCTTGAAAAGGTCATCTCTCGAGGAAGTATTTCTGTAATCAAGCCGTCCCGCAAGCGGTTCAACTGGAGGGCCCTCGACCTCGAATTGTTTAAAGTTTGCTAGAGGCTCTGACCACATCCGATGAGAGAGTAACAAGTCAGATCTCAACTGACAGCCAATTTACCGTTTGTCTGGTTAACAGGTTTCAGACAGCTATTTAGTTCGTTAATTCGTATACTCATCTAGGAATGTGAAATGGAATATAATGGATTCCCCCAAAATATAAGCCTGACTGATGTAACATTAGATAAAAAAAACGGCAAATGTTTCAACATGAAGTTAAATCAATTGTAAACACGCCTCAATAAAGTTGTGTTTTATTGAAATAAATTCACAATCACGATCACCTAATGTGATAATATCACATGTACCTAAACAGATGTAAACTGGGAACCGTTTGAAAGGTGGTGGAAGATTACATACTTCATACTGATAATGACTGTCAAATGTTCTTTACAACAGGACACTATGAAAACTTAACTACTGTTCAGTAACTCTGGTTGTCTTGTTTACACAGTTACGGGCCTCGCTATTGGTTTACGGAGTGTTGACAAACTCATCTCCAATTTTAAAAATGAATAAGACTAAGGATAATCGGGTGACACAGCTTTATAACACTAGAAAACATACATGAGCTTACCTTCCCATTTTCTAAGAGTTAAGGAAAATGGATGTGATCCAGTATTTAATAATCAAATGTTGAGTGTGCAGGTGAGGTTTAGAACAACAGAGATTAGCAAGTGCCAGTCACATGGGATCTCTTAATCAACTATTGAGACCTTTCGGTCATTCAGAGGACGACCTTAATTAACCATTACTCCACTCTTAAATATAAAGGCGAGTACTTGTCAGTGTCTCTTGTACTGGTGTCATCCGCGTGAATGAGCTACGTCAGCTGTGATCGACCCGTCACACATACACCTGTATCTACACTAAACTTCTTACCAGTGGGTAGACCAGACCGTTGAGGAGTATCTGGTAAGTAAATATAGATTTTTTTTTTACTGAGAGTCTACTTAATCCATTTGAATCACGAATACCATGAAACACGTGTGTGAAATTCAAGTTGACAACATATTCAATTATAATTGATTATAATGTATTTTTTTGTAATACATGAAGATTCTTCATGAAAGGTCCTCAAAGTAATAGAGCACGTGTCTGTCATCAATTGGACTTGGTCTCCATGGCAACCAAAGTTGGCCCCGGAGAAAATATTCAGCACGTCACGTAAGCATTGCTGTATCCCTAGATACTCGAGGACGTGTTATCCTGGATGGAGAGTATGTAGTCACAATATGTCCACAGCTGAAGCAAAACTCCCAATGTTTTGTGGGGTAGGTCAGTTTTATGGTTGTGATAATGAATAGAAAAATATTCTATTTCCTCCACCAATAAGACGTTAGATGAATTTGTAGTTGCTAACCTTGTCACCAACTCAGATTTACCCTAGATTTACATGACGGGTGCCATGGATGATACAGGAGATGCTTACCCGTCGTCTAATTTCATATTGCAAAAAAAGAAATAATGACGTGCTGATTTTTCATGTACCTAAGGGGGATCTTTTTCAAGTTTTAAGTACCGGAGAGAGTTTTATCAGATTTTCTACATCATTTACTTACAGTTAAAATTTCCTTTTGCTTTATTTACAAATGATCATCAGATCATGATGGCATAGATCTAGTAATTGACCATTTAACTTTGTAATTATGATTTGTCAGACAGGATGCCATTCAATCCTTAATGTATTGAAATAATCTCCCAAACAGCTAAGGGACAATACTTTTATAACTTGGCTTAATGATGAAATCTGCAATGGTAGGCATCAAGATCCCTGAAAGACAGATTTCATATACCGGGTAATTAATTGTCTACAATATATTCTTACCTGGTGTTGTTATCTTTGTTATGTGAAACAAAATCAGAGACATATAATATAGTTTTATACATCATTGACAATATCCTGACAACTTTAACAGCTGTATGATATACAATGAAAAATAATTCATAACACAGAAATTCTACTGACATTCAAGACCAGTTTAATTAGATGAGATATGAAGCAGATTGTTGAAGGAAATGATATAATGACGACAACAGATATTGTTTTTTACAAAATTTAGATAATGTTTGTACAAAATATGCCAGTATTAATTATGTACTTAGTGCATTTTCATTACTGTTAGCCAAGCTTGTTGTCAGATGAGCTGGCAGTTTCAAAAATTCACTTATGTCTAAATCTTCCGAGTCATTGTCATTGATGCTATTGCACTGATTTCCATCTTGGTCATCCAAGATCATTTGAGTATCGTCTGTAAGTCCATCACTTGGCAATTTGTTCTCTATTTGAACGGCAGGTGCTACTAAATTTGTGTCCCCTGTAAGTGAGTAGTTGACTCCAAGGGCTGAACGAACTCCCTGTACACTTACTACACCTCTTGGATTAGCCTGCAATCAAGGAAATGAATGACTTAAACAAAATTTTAAGTTATTACCACAACACTTCCTAAAAATATTCTTATGCTTAATATTAAAAATTAAAGTGGAAAACTGACATAATACAAACACAAAAAATAAAACATGTTTCTTATTAAGTAATCTACTATCATCAATATAGTTTAACAAAAAAAAAATTGATGTTAAACACTTTTGATGTAAATTTGTTACTTGTAATATGATTTTAGGCAGTTACCAAGTTGAAAGTGTAGTGCTTAGATAAGATTGCACTATATGCAGTTTTCATATTTTGTTTACATAGCAATCATTGCTGATGCAAAAATCTTTGCACTTAAAAATTGAAAAATGCATTCAAACTTGATTGCACAAAAAGTGTTTTTATTACAGTTTGTAAATAGCAATCACAGGTAATCAAATTTTAATATTTAATTCTATTTTTTCACTCTCTTCTTTTTTTTTTTAAATCTTGCTCACTGAATACACCTTATAGTACAAAATTTTACACAATGCTACGGTATCAAAATGAACATTTAGAGTTATCATATAAATTGAACTAGATAGTCAGAACAGAAACAGGTTACATGCAAAACACAAAGGATTTATAAATTGGAATAGAATATGATATCAAGTGAATATTGTCTTGTGATTAGGAAGAAACTGAATTTATATTGATATTAATAGCCTTAACAAAAGTAACATTGACCAATAAATCAACATTGATCGTCCTTCACTTCATCACCAATGTATATTATCAAATGTGTTCTAATTCTTACCGATTTCGCTAGTTCCTTCAGTTCTTTTGTTACTTTTTGGGCTGAAAAAATAAGCATCATTATATCATGTCAATTTGTAAATAATCTTTAACAGAAAATATGTCATCAAAACAGCAACACTTATTATATATAATATACCCTATAAAATATTGTTCATTTTCCCAAGAACATGCAAGGAAATAAATAATTTCAGAGTATTAATTAATCAATAACTGTTGTATGTACAAGCAATCTTCAAAAATCCCCATTTCTGCTTTCCTTTACCTAGTTGGAGTTCTTTCTCAGACGGCCCAGGAACAAGGGCTAGATGAGGAGGCAGTTTACTGCTGAGACGTTCACTTTGAGTCTGCTGAAGATCGTTCAAAAGACTGGCTGTCTGGTCCAACTTTTCCTGAATCGGATCTTTGGGGGGTTCACTCTCTACAAAATAAAACATTTTTCATCTTATCATAAATTTCATGTCGGTTTATAAGAAAAATAAATCAATATTTTGTATTGCAATACTACAATATTGTGTTATCATAAGAAAGACTTATACATTCCATCGAACCATTTAAAAGTCAATACCATGAGAATAAATGAGTCAGCTAAAACAACTTACCATATTGGTCCAGGAAGGAGACATCGACCCCCAGCTGGCTAAGACTCCGAAGGGAAGAAATATCAGCAGCAGTTGCTGATGGTAATTCAGCAACACTTTCCTGGGTGTGCATCTCTTGCTGGGCCTTCTGCTGTTTATTGGGTATACAGAAATGTTAAAAACTGCATAGATGTTAAGACAGATAATGGAGTTCCAGCCACAGTAACACAAATAACTGGATTTCACAATCTTTAATTAGATGTATCAGACAGGGTAACAGGTATTCTATAACCACATGTATGTTGAGTAAGATAATTTAATATAGGGACTGTAGTTATAAACACAAGCTTTTCTTTTAAACAATTATTTACAGTGAATTACATCTGTTAAATATATCTTTTTCAACTCAAAGTCGTTTTTAAACAATTTTCAGTGGTTTAAACCAGTTAAGTGATCACTTAACAGCTGTTAACTTTAATATGATTACATTTTGTTATAAACAAGACATGATTTAAAAGAGGCCAAAAAGTTTTTGGATTCTTGTATTTTCAGCGTCCCAAACTATATTGGGTAAGACTCCAATGTGGCATGAAAATCTGAATAAAAAAAATAGTTACCTCCTCTAGAAGTTTTTGAGTTTTACTGTGTTCCCCTTTAGTGAGGATGTCAAGTAGATTATCCACCATAGCTATCGCATAATCTCCAGAATGCTCAGTGAAGTCCATGATGCTGTGACAGAAGAAAGACAATGAACTGTAAATCCCAATTCTTAAGCTAAAGGAATAAAGTACTTAATCCTCAATAGCAGTTCATCATAATGTTCAAAATTTGGTAAAAAACTATGGATTTAACAATACATCAGATGTACATGTGGCACTTTGTAAATAGTTTAAAAAATATTTGACTATTAACAATTGATTTTTTTTCCATCCAAAAGAGGGTTCATTTAAAAGAAATTTCACAAAATGTAAAATGACACAACATATATGACAGGGATATTCTAAGCCAACTTTATCAATAGCAATTGAAAACCAATTTTGAAAAAAATGTTCATTTTTTTTTGTATGAATTTTATTAAATCTATCATAAAGAAACAATATCATAATTGATATATCACTACATATGTCTATGAAGGTTTGTCTCCCTTTAAATGCCTGCTTGAAATTTATTTTCAATTATGATCCAAATGTGTCCTCACCTTCTGGCATATTGGACGCCAGTTTCATCACCATATGTGGACAACAGTAGATCTGATTCTTCCTTGGATATGTTTGAGAATGTGGAATCATAATGGGGTGCGTAGCTACTGAATGGTCCATAGTTCAAATAGTTAACTATAATGATATACACAATATATCTTATTTAAAATTGTCATTGATTAAATCTGTAACAACAGTAAATAATCTTAATCTACACAAACCAGATTACAATTTAACCGTAAGATTATTTTTTTAATCAACCTATTATGACTTTCACCTAAATAAGTTTGGTGTTGAAAAATGCACTGAAGTAATAAATATGATAAAATATGTTACATGTATAATTTTGACAAAATTCCATTATGGAGCAAAATAAAAATTTACAAAGATAATTAATAATCTACAGTAGAATTATTTTCAAAAATATTAATTTTCATGACGCTTAATTTTTGTAACTTTTTTTCTGAATTTTGTGGATAAATACAGCTCTATCAATCTACTTAAATTTACTTAAACAGTTCATGGACATATCAATTTACAGTTCATGGACATATCAATTTACAGTTCATGGACATATCAATTTACAGTTCATGGACATATCAATTTACAGTTCACGGACATATCAATTTGTGGATCAAGTGTATCCATGAAATCAATGAAAATAAATTCACCACAAAAATTAATGAATGAAAATGTAAGTATTTTCTTTTTTTGTCAGATTTTTTCAGGCAAGTCCAGAATACCCCTCCCTAACTTTTAAGGAGTCCCAATATTAAGACATTGAAGATTCTTAAAATTTGATTGAGTCCCTCAGGAAAAATATAAGTCCTGGACTCAAATATCCAAGAGTCCCAAAAATCAAAGATACACCTTACTGACCAGGAATTTTAACAAAACTAGAATTTACAATCACATATATAAGTAAAAAATGCCTCTGACTTACTTGGAGTGACTTTATTACGTTTGTCCTCTTTATAACTGGAGAGTACTCCGGTCCCCGATGTCAATCTTCCAATCAGGGATCCTAGGTTGACAACTCGCTCTGTTTCGCTGACTAAACACATCCACACAATTTAACATTAAATTACTTAATTCAGAGTTCACAAATATATTTATAATGTAACATTGTAAATATGTAAAAATAAACAGTAAATGTTTGTTTCACAATATGTATTATTTTATTATAAAATATTTAATTCATGTATATGTAAACATTAAAGTAAAGCTGAATCTGACCAACAAAGGCTTATCACCATAACCTGTTTCATTCTCATTGTAAAATGCCTGTAATCACCTTCAGTCTGTGTTCTAGATGTATAAGTGACCTTACCTGTTCCATCATTTTCTGGGTTCATAATATTTAATGTTGTACTGCCATCCTCTCTCTGTCTAAGGAATCCAAACTGTACAGAGATATCAAATACAAGTCATTATTATAATATTTTTTTTTGCAATGGAAGTAAATATTTTGTTCATAGCTTACTATTTACTTCAGGGGACCAGTAATACAAAATCCGAAGAATTTTAAGGTGAAATGTGTGTGTTTTTTTTAAAACAAGTTACCAACGTCTCTCACACGAATTCTTTTTTATTTTTGTAAAACCTAATGTTGTAAACAATAATCACTCACTTTACTGTCAGGCTTTCTTAGCGTAAGGATATCTGCAGCGTCTTTAGCAGCTGCCTTGGCCTGTGCAAGGATTTCTTCTGGTGTCAGGTTATCAGGTAGGGCTTCATATCTTCCAATTCTAAAACAGTACAAACATTCAAAAATCATACTGCAAGTTGATGTTTTTAGGTCTCCTAAAAACATTAAAACATTATTTTAAGGGTAAAATGGGTGGATTAATAGTAAAAGTTTTTTCAGAAAGCAGAAAGGCAGGATTACTGCAAATCTGGCCATTTGTATACATGTAGAATGGAAAATCTTTCAGAGAAATTTAATGAATCTTAGACAACTTCATTCTAATATAATCTCTGAAACTGAGTTATAGACAGAAAATTATCAGAGGGATGAACAGACACCTTAATCTGCCCTATCACATAAACACTTAAAATCAATCAAAACCGCGTGGTTCACAATACTGTCAGGATTAAAACTACGTAACTTTATTCATCACATTATAAAACAACAAAACCTACCCTTCCCTGGCTTTTAGTCTCTTCTTCTCCTGTCGTTCTTCTTCCTGAATAGCTTCTATCACTTCCTTTGTCTCATCAGGCTCATCAATTCCAAGCTCTTCATTACGTAAACTTGCAAGAAATGGTATTGTTCTCTTCATAAACAATAGCTTTTCCTGTAAAAAATATATATATTGACAAATTTTCTTTCAACTAATTTGTTTAGGAGGCATGTGAAAACTGCAATTTTTCAAATATCTAAATTAGAAAAAACAAAAACAAAGGAAAGCGTAGTCAGACAAACAAAGTATCCCTAGATAAATTATGAAAAATGTCAAAATACTTAAAAATTGATTCATAATCCTTCCTTTACTGTGGTCAAAGTTATGTTATGGACATGAAAGGAAGGATGGAGAAGATGGCAACTATATGCTTCCAAAAATGTTCAGGGAACATCAAAAAATACTATGAAAAATATTAATCAACATCTTTGAAGAGATCAGGCTAGGCTTTCAGAAAGGATGGTGTTATCATTGATCCAGAGTCTACACTACCAGTTAGTTGTTAATGAAACCAGAAAAGACTCCTAATGACCTACTTTACTCATCATTTTGATCCCAATGTGAAGTAGTTTCTTAGCTTCCTTGTAGTAAATCGTCTCTGGTCTATTATAGGTCATTGCATTGTTACACATGAGCACAAAATCTTTCTGAAAGAAGACAATTCAGGGAAAAGTTTTGAATGAATCTATATCAAAAACACAACAATTCATCTTTATATTGAATATGGTTTGATAAGGCACTGCAACTAAAAAAAAGAGTACAAATTTAAGCCGAATGCAGATTTACAATATGGAATATATACTGACAACTACTTATTATTTATTAAACCTTAGCCGAATATCTATATGAAAACTTACAAAATTATATGCCTTTTTCTTTATTTTAAAAAGAAAATTTTCCTTTGGTTTATGAAGAAAGCAAACAATTAACCACATCACAGCAAACTCACCTTATATTCCATAACATTTCTGTACTTAAAGGTATTGATCTTTGCTAACATGGTACTGAAGTCCATAGGGCTGAGAATAATTAGAGAGTAACCGGGAGCAATCATGTCATTTACAGGGTTGGCAAAAAACCCATTGGTGTCTTTTCTGAAAAAGAATACAATTGGTATGTAGAAATTTGCATCATAATCTTACTAGTCATTTTGTGCCCCAAAATATAAAAGTTTTGATATTCATCTTTTTAAAACTAAATACTTGGTCAGCTTTTCATATTGTTGTTTTAACCAAAATCTATAGCATTTTATCAATTTGTAACTTGAAAATAAAGTTTGCGAGCCAAAAATTTTTTTTGGCTGATTAAAATATTAATGTGATGATGTTTTCTGAAAAAGAACACCATTTGAATTGTTTACAGATGCATATCTGAAATCCTGATCTTCAATATTAAAATACTACATCTAAAACTAAGTTTTATAAAAAAATTGTTGGTGTGACTTTTCCTTTTTTCAATTTTGCAAGAGGGGTAATACACTGTACTATATATTACCACAAAAATAGAACAAGATATTTGATGAAATTCTGAATTAATATTATCAATTTATATTTTGATTGTTTTGTCAATGACATAAATGTATGGCAGGTATAGTTTTATTATAGAAGACTGAATGGAAAAATCACCATCAATCCTTTTTTTTATCAATAACTGTGACTTGAACAAGTGTTAAACTCACCTCTGAAGATTGTTGTGTATGTGCTTAAGACAGATACGAAGTACACCATGTTCTGCTGCACCTTGCGATGTTGGGGTCGCACTCCCTCTCTCAGACTTCTCTTCTGCTGCTTCAGACTCTTCCCCACCTGTGCCGCTAATGTCAACATCTTCTAAAACTTGTCGCTTGGCAACAGGTGCCTCCTCTTCTTGAGAAACTTCAAACTCTTCCTCAGTTTCTCTGTGACGTTTTCTTGGTTTCCCCTGAAGTAAATTTTTCACAACAATTACATGAAGTTTAAACTTTCCCTCCAGGAAGTTTTATAGAAAACACTGTTAACAAACCAAATGACCATGATTTTTTACTTTCCATTAAGTTGTTGAGATACTGATCTTTCCATGAAAACAAGTTGTGACAATTATGAACAGCATTAAAAATCTTAACATTCAATGACTCTTGTACTAAAATTAACATGTAAATTATGCATATATTGTAAATGTAGGCAGCTGAATGAAAGTCCCTGACTCTCAAAACTCTGTCACAAATCTCAACAAATGACCAAAACGACTGGTATTATTTAAATTTCTCCAAGAAGGTTTAAGAACCACTACTTTAAAGAAAACACTAATGTTACTGAAATGATATGTTACACCCCATTACATGGGGCAGACGATACCCATTATGTTACATTTTTGTACCTCGTCTCTGTGTCGACTCTTTTCTCTGTCACTGGATTTTTTCTTCTTCTTTTTCTTGTGTTTGTGTTTTTTACTGCTGCTGCTAGTCTCGAGGACAGGACTCGGGTTGTACATATCACTGTCCGACTCTAATACTTCTATCTTTGACTTCTTCAAAACTATCTTTAATGATGGAGGTTCAGCAACTTCTTCTGGTTCCATTGCTTAATAAGTATGAGAAAGTTATTAATTAAATATATACTACTTAGACATTTTTTTATTAATAATCACTATAACTCAATAGTATCTAAAAACTAAACCCTAAGCAAGGACAATAACAGTCATAAACTAAGGAGATGAAAAAGTTCAATGACAAACGTCATTTTTTCAACATCACAAAGACGATAAGAATTATTCTTATAATGATGGAAGCTTACAGTATACAGTAACATATATACATACTATGTCTAACAGATGCCTTTTTAAATAAATAATAAATTGGCTGACTAACGGTGATAAGCTTAAAAGTATAAGACAAATAAGCTACAATTCATCCCCTAAATAGACCTCAATATCACATCCTACCACTTTTGATTAGACAGAAAAGAAATCCTATCAATCTTTGCCAGTAATTAAAGGATCTAAAATGGAGCTCTTGTGATCTTATTAGCACCACCATTCTTTTTTTTCAAAAAGGAATGATCAAGTCTTATAATGCTTTTCAATCATTATGAAGTTTCATCAGAATAAATTACAAAAGTACCTTTGAGTAATGGCTTTTAATCTTTGAATCACATCAAAAAATTCTACTTTCTATACATTCTTAAAATTGGCACAAAATGGCATCAAACCTTTCAAAGCACAAACATATACAGAAGTTGTTGTTATGCATTTCAGAAAACATTACTGACATTCTTATGAACAGAAAAGAAAATCTAGAGCGCCTATTTTCCAATCAAAAAATACAAAACAACTTTTTCTGTGACTATGACTATTAAGGGAGATAATGTGATAAAACAGAAACAAACCCTCTCTCAAAAAATATATCATATTCCAAAAAGATCTGATTTATTTTTTAAAAGATATTTACAAATATTGTCAATACATGTATTAACATGCACATTAAGGGTCTGACGCGGCTTATACGTGAAATAATCTAAAATTTTGATGAACCAGAAATGCCGATTCTCCGCATAAATGAATTAAGCGTTGGTTATCTCCCTTGTCAAATATGACATCAGTGGCCATACAATAATTCCTGATTTAAACATCGCGAGAATTTATCACATATATGAAATATCATTGAATGAAATAACAATCACATAAAGTTTAAGAACTATAGCCCTAAGCCTATATATATTCGCAAAATATGTCATTCCAGGCGGTGTTTTTGGTGTGCAAATCAGTGACATGAACATGGCTGCGTTCATATTTACAAATAAAGCACAGCCGTTTTACAATAGAGGAAAACGTTTCATACCTTCACGTTGCCGTCGTTCCGACTTATGATGTTTTTTGTGCTTCTTACCCATCCTGATATATTTCACCTGCGAATGTAGGACAGACAAAGACAGATTGATGTTTTGTCAGCGTACAAGCGTTCAAACAACGCAGATCAATGTAGATTATCTAATATCCGCAATAGAAACCGGGTTTATATCCGGAATATTTCATTTCAGAAACAAATATTTCCTTTTTATATTTTGTCTCATTTTGATATTTAATTTGATGCACTTTGGTAATAAAACAAGTGAAAATAAGTACTCCATCAGATTTTTTTTCTAAAATAGACAGGGAAACTGTAAATTATTTTTTTTATAATTATTTTTTTTTATTCAATAAAATGAACTGATACAGTTATACATGTGAGAAACACTCCTCCACACAAACATTTTCACCTCCATGATTGCATGTATACTTGACCACACACATACAGATGAACATCAAGATAATACTTGCATACATAATATGTACACGTAAAGCATACGTGCACCGTACACCTAACAGCAAATATAATAATTATATATATGCATCATGTACATACACCGCACTCGCACATACAAGCTTACGTACATGTACCTACAACCACACCCGTAAATCAAATACTTATTGATAGTCCTTTATGTTCATGTATGGAAAACGAGGAGACTAATGATCATTATCTGTTACATTGCCGTCTTTTCTCTCGATTTCGTTTACGTTCCTTTTCTACAATAAATCGTCCAATAACTACTAAACTGTTACTATTCGGTGATGACGAGCTGTCATATGACGAAAATGCATTAATTTTTTCATGTACTCAGGATTATATCCTTAACTCCAAAAGATTTGAATGATGTCTCTTTTCTCCAATACATTCATGTCTGGGTCGGTCTTTACTGTGTTTTCATAGTAAATTCTGTACTTGAGGTATAACTGAGCAACACCCCCCGCCCTCATCCCCCCTTTTATTTTCTTTTTGTTCTTTATCTATAAGATAGCATATTGATTTATTCTTTCTCACATATTATCTTATAATAACAGCCTACGTCCTCAATTCCGCATGCGTCTCTTCTAACTGGAGATGGATTAATATAAGTTGTCAAACTTGTTTCCAAATCCAATTTCAATTGTTATTTGATGCAACTATGTACATTGTAAAGAGAAAAAATGAAATAAAATAAAGTTTACAAGAAATCAAATACAGTGTAGGTATACAACTATATATTACAGGTGTATAAGTATCAGAATCAGCAAACCACGTCTAAAGTGGTTAATCATATTAGCTATATCGGCATACTTACATTTATAATGTTATCATAGAGAAATGTTGTTGTGAGGAGGTATAGAAGTGTTACAGTACATTGCATTGTTTTTTTTTTGAGGAAGAAGAAAGTGAAAGAATAGAATAGAGTAAGAGAGAAAAAAATAAGTTATTATCATATATTCTGAGATATTTATCTAAGAGGAGGGCTTCCGCAACCCATGGAAATAATCAAATACTTCTACAACAAAGCAACTGTGTTGCAAAGCATACAAGAAAGAAAAAACAAGAAAAAGAAAATAGAAGAGAAGTATGCATTAGTAGTGACAAGTGTAAGAGCAGAAGACAAGAGGAAGGCATTGAGAAGAACGACAGAGGAGAAATTAGAACACGCATGATATGGAAGGAACAGTATTGAGTTTATGTCTATAAAAAATGGGATAGATGAAGCAGTCATCAGCTTAAAAACTGCCGAGTTTTAAGCAATATCTATTAGTTTTTTCCATTTACTCCATTCATTTGAAAAGATTTGTAAGGAAGAATTACCTTTACCAGTTGAAATGGACTTTTGGACAGTATAATTTTCTTTTATAACATTAACTAAAGCCATTACCGATAATGTACTATGTACAGTTCTGGTTCTATAGATATCTATAGATATAAGATTTAATAATAAGAAGTACTTCATTATCTACTCGATTGTAGATGCCAGTATCATTTACCAGACCGAATAAGATAGATTCTTTATTTATAGGAAACATTATTGTAAGAACGTCTTATAGTGATTCAAAACTGACAAAAAAATTTTGAACTTCACTACATTCCCATAACATGTGAACAATTGTCTCCCTTTCTCTATTACAAAAATTACAGTTAGGGTTATTTGAAATACCAATTTTGTGTGCATATAAGTTGGTTGTTAATATAAAGTGATTAATCCTGAATTGTAACCAACGGAGTCTAGTGTTTTGAGTTTATCTAAACGGAATACTGTATATTTCTTTCCATTTCTTTTTACTGAAATCAAAAATATTTCCCCATTTATGTTGACCTGTAATGTTTACATCAGTTTTAATGAGAAGTCGATAAAAGTCTTGTGATCCTTTTTTTTCTTTAAAATCGATTCAAGACTCAACTGGATAGAGGGATACATCAACAATCCACTTAGAGGAAAAACAGGCCTCAAGTATTTCTTTATACTTTGGATTACTCCATAGTACTGTAAATAATTAGTAACTAGACCATATACATTACAAAATTCATTAGAATCATAAAATAAAAAAAATTCTAGAATCTTTTAGTAAATCATTTATTACTCTCACTCCTGCATTAAACCATTTTTCATAAAAAAATGCGGTTTATTATCTATGTCAAAGTTTTTATTAAACCATAGAGGCAATTTAAGTATGGACTCATTATCATTTCTGAAGAGTTCTTCTTTAACTCTAAATTTATACCAAGTTTGAAAAACATTTTCCCAAAAAGTATTTTTACATCTAGTTTTTGCACAGAGTAAATATTCCCTCCCACAATTAGCTAAGATCTGAATATTCACATTTTTTTTTTCAAAATCAATAGCCATTTACTTGAAGATCTGAAAATTCTTCTGATCCAATCAAGTTTGAGAGCCTCTATATATGTATCAATCTGTATCGTTTTCAGGCCTCCTTCAATGTAAGTTTGTACAATAACCTCTCTTTTAACCCTGTCTATTTTACCACATCACAGAAAGTTAAAAAGAATCAAAATTCAGTTTTTTGATGACAGATTCACCCGGGTTGGGAAGAGATATAAAAAGATAATTGAACTGGGAGATCAATAAAGATTTAATTACACTTATTTTCCCAATAGGAGTAATAGTTCTACGGCTCCAACATTTGATAAGAGATTTGAGTTTAACAAGTTTCTTGTCATAATTGAGTTTAACAATTTTAAACAAATCAACATGGAAATCAATACCCAGAAGTGTAAAATGTTCCACACCCCAATTTAAATTTAAATTTGGTACAAAAACCTCCTCACTATATTTTTTACTCCCTATCCATACAATCTGTGCTTTACATATGTTGATTTTAAGGCCAGAGATTTGTTTGTATAAATTAAGTTCCTTACTGGATTCTTTGAGGGAGCATTCTGATCCGTCTAGGATAAGGGAAGTGTCATCCGCATATTCTGACAGGAGTATTGGACAGTTGTCAATTTCTATTCATTTTTATTGTTTCTTATACGTATAGCTAGAATTTCTACGCAAAGAATAAACAGGTAAGGTGCTATTGGGTCATCTTGTCGACAACCACGCTTAATCTAAAAAAAATCTGACAAATTTCACCCCTGATTTATGGCAGACTTAGCTTTACTATGCAAAATTTTGACCTATTTTTTCATGTCATGACCAAATTTTAAAAAATCCAGAACTTCATCAATAAATTTCCATGAAACCGAATCAAAGGTCTTTTCAAAGTCAACCATTAAAAGCATTCCAGGAATATCATAATTTTCAGTGTATTGCATAATATCAAAAATAAGTCTAGAATTTTCCCCCAAATATCTCCCCGATAGAAATCCTGTTTGGTCATCATTTACTAATTTTCCTAGTAGTGGTTTAATTCTATTAGCAATGGAACCTGAAGCTATTTTATAAACAGTATTTAAAAGCGATATTGGACGCCAATTCTTTATGAAATGCCTGGGTTTATCTCCCTTAGGTAAACAAGTTATTATACCTTGTAAAACTGTAAATTATTACAATTAACGTTAGGTAGCTTTCGCGAATGCGGCTAAAGCGATTGAAACGGCTTGACTTGGCCAATCGGACATAAGTCGGTTTCGTGGAAACGGCAAGAAAAATCGCCAGACCCAATTTGGTACATATGCGTTCGTCTATAGTGGAATAAGTCTAGACCGTTTCAACCGGCTTACGCGTAAGAGGCCTTATACATATTTCCGGAAATGCTATGCTTAAAAGTATGAATTGAAATGATATATATATCGAAAAACAGTAATATATAGAAAAATAGTAAAATACGAAATGTTTACGATTAATAAAACACAAGTATGTACCGGACGCCGCGAATTTTTAACTTTCTGATGTGTGTGTGTGTGTGTGTGTGTGTGTGGTTCACTGTTTGGCAGGAAATTCCGAAACTGCTTTTTGAGCTTTTCATAAACCAGTTCCAACGTCTGGTACAAGTTGAGTCGTTTATCGTGGACTTATTAGGACTGTCTGAACCGTTTCAATCGGGTTGCGACCTTAGATCATTTTTACGTCCTTTCCCAGTAAGCTATGTACTCGCGCATCATAAACTTTCTTTCTGAAAAAAATAACATTATGAAAAATATAAAAACAATCGAAATACAGCAGTTAGTAGTCCTCTTCTGCCCACAATCATTCATTTCCTCAGCCGAACTTAACTCGTTCTGATTCCCGCGGGTAATACGCATTGATCCCTTAAAGGATAAAGGAATATACATTGGTTCCACCAGGGAACACTCCAACTCTCAGTTAGGTATAAACAAATTGATTTCCTTAGGAACGCATATATGTACGGTATTTTGATTCTTCAATGGGGAACAAATCGCTTCCCCCGGTAAATAACATTATTTATGAACATGGTAGGGAATAAATGACACATCGCTTTCCCAAAGGAATAACATTATCATAAACATCGTCGTCTCCCCCTGAAAATAACCTGATAAACACCGCTTCTCCAAGTAGTCTGACGAGAACCAAACGAGCTTAACCTTAATTTCTTGAATGCTTGATGTCTTTTACAATGGTGTAGATATGGTAAGATGATCAAACACTACCGTTATTGGCTGCATTGAAAGAC